CAATTTCTATCAATCATCTCAGGAATCGTTCCTCTCATCTGAAGCTGCGCACGGACGGAAGACTGGTTAACATTCGAGGCAGTGCGGTTGGTTGTTGGTTAACTCTCTTTCCTGCGAAGAATTCCATGGTCTCTGGATATGCGTTAAATTGTCGTGCGATTCGTAGGGGTTTCGGCGAGAAGGAGGGAGCGATGTGAGGATCACCTTGAAATGGGGTGGGAAATGAGAAAAACGGAAACAGAGAGAAGGTTGAGCGGCGTTGGATGATGAATGGCGAAGTGATGGTGGTTTTGCGTGCAAAACCAAAATACGGGGGAATACGGTGCTAAGGGGTAGAAGGGCAGTACGAAAGGAAGATGATCGAGGAGTGGCACGGGGATGGAAGATTAGGGGTTGCCCACGGAATCGTGATTTATAAACGACGCTTTCTAAGAACTGCGCCCCTTGAAGCGAGGTCTTCTTGTTTATAATTATTGCAGCCGACGTTGACGGATAATTTCGAAGGGTGATCCAAATTCTCACCGCTTTTCCTTTGTGAGTTGAGTGGTCATCGATCTCGTTAGCTTAGGGAGCGTCCAGCGAGTGTTGGACGATGATCTTTCTGTATTAAGGAGTGCCGCCAAGACTTGATGTTTTCTCTGAAAATGGTAGAGCTTTAAACGAAGAGAAACGATGGGTATCTTGAAAATAGTGGCACCGATAGTTTTTCAGGTTGAAAACTAAGGAAACTTGGACAAGTCTCAGAGATATAGATAAAAGTAGACACGGAGAGAATGATTTTGCTAAAATATCTAGAAATTTAGTTGGAGACAAAAAATAATTTTATTAGACAATCGAAATAATTATGTAGAACGCTCAAGTATAGATAATGCTGCAAAAAATGTTGATATTCTAGTAACCAGCTTGAGCCCTACATAATTATTTTGATAGTCCAACAAAATTATTTTCACTTTGTAAACTTTTGGATAACTTTAACAAAATTATTTTCAGATCTAGCTAAATTTTCAGATACTTTAACCGTATAAATAAAAACAAAGAATAAAATTTTTTACAAGGATTGCAGTTTTTTTTTACATTTTGTAGAGCATGCAGTATTCCCGATACAATTCTCTGATCTCGCGATTAAAAAAAAGTAGCAATCTATTCTGCACGGGCGTCTTAAGAGTTCATTAATCATCATCTAAAAGATCGAAGATCATTGCTCATGGCTTCGAGACGACGTCACAAATATTTTCTCGCAGAGTGATCCGCGGCTCTTTCAGCGAGATCACGAGCAAGGATTCCTTCGCCAGGATCGAGGACAAAGATCGATTTATAATAATTTACGCGTAGCCCTCGACAAGCGCCCGCAGGGTCGCGCTGAATCACACGCGAGTCGCTATTTATAAGATCATTCTTGACGAAGCGATCTCTACAATGCATCGCTCGTAAATCACGCATTCTTAACGCAAGAAGCGAGTTGGAGCAACGAGGTGGATTGTATCGGTGCGATGGTGGAATTCGCGCGTCCCACGCGACGAGATCTAAACCGCGAGTCTCGTTAATTTGTCATTTGAAACACCAACGTCAAAGAGATTACAAACAAATTGATGCTAATTACGAAACAAACCTCAATCAATGAAGTACGATACTGTATAATTAATTAAAAGCAAAGTATTATAAAAAGCATTGAAATACGATTGATTCATTGGAACAAAAAGAGATTTGCTAAAGTATCTAAAAATTTAATTAGATACAGATATAATTATATAAGACGTGATGTAAACAGTTTTAACATCCTAGCAATCAGTTTGACCGTTCATAATTATTTTGATGATTTAAAAATTATTTTCATTTCTGTATCTAATTAAATTTTTAGATATTTTACGAAAATGTTCTACTCCTAAGAAGTACCATGTCATCGCCGATTAAGAGCGATGACAATCTAGGCCAGTATGAATTTTTTTACATTTCCTTTCCGTGTATTTTTTAATATTTTTTATAACATCCTCATGCTTTCTTGAAGAATACAGTTCCAAATCGTTAATAATAATTAATATGCGCAAATATATACGGATCTGTTGTGTTCGAATGTTCGTGGGTTCAGGGTGGCCGAGTCGATTTCGCTTCTTTTCTCATCATCCCGGATGAGCGCCTGAACAGCTTCTCTTTCAGCCTCCTGCAAACGGAGAGACTCGTAGGCGCCCGCGCCTATTATCGGTCTCGTAAAAACTACGCTTTACGATTCCACCAGTCAAAACGAATTTCGAAAGTGCAGCCGGTCAATAGACCGTTTCAAAACGTCGCGACCTTTCCTTTTTCTCGATGAAGAAACCGCGTCATGCATTTTCATAAGAATGTCGCATCATGAACGTCCGTGAACTTCTCACTGTTGCGGGAGCCACAATCGTCGTAGAAACACGTAAAATGAGACAGCTAACGATGTGGATATCAAATTGTAAATTGGTAAAAAATGTCATTATTTTTCTGGACGGTAGCGACTGTCTGAAGACTGTGCAAGATTGGAATGGGAAATTGTCTCGTATCTTACTTGCTTTATGTTACAAGAGTACGATTTGTGTTTTACAGAGGAATTATTTCACAATATATATGAACAATATACTCTGGTCTAAAAAAAAGTGTTTTTTTTTCCACGTAACACGATCAAATTTTTGTGAAAGAGCACGAGTACTCTGGCGAAAAAATTTTTAGTAAGTAATTGTGTTTATATCTATTTATAAAGAGTTGTGTCAATGCTTACAGTATTTATATTCTATTGTATATCGTATCTTCATTGTATTTCGTAAATTATTAGCTGCATTGTAATAAACAATTATATCACGTACTGAGGCATGCCGTAAATCACTTTGCTCGTTTCCACTGCTGTCGCATTTTACATTCCTATGAAATCTCGATAGTTCTTTGTATCGAGTTTCACTTCATTACTGCAAGATATTTATCTCACGTAAATTATTCATGTCTTATTCAGTGTTTATCGTACGTTGTTATCATCTTATTTAATCAGCCAATCGACTAATTTAGCAGTGCGAAATTTTATAGTAGCCAATTAATTTTGCAATAAAAAATATACTTTGACAATCAAATCCTTCGTTGACTTTTAACATTCCCAACGTTAGTTAACGTATATACCTGGTGCAATCTTAGAAATTAATTGAAAGTAAACTGCACAATGTCGCTTCAGGCATTGCGATTGGCCTGACGTTCTACGCGCTGTCGCTGACAATTAATTATCTAACGCGTGATAGCAAATAGTCATGCATTCGTCTTGAGAGAGTGGCTCGTAAATTACTTGGCGAAGCTGCGGGCTAAGTAATGCATAACACAGCTTAAAATCTAGCCGCATAAGTAGCCTGTCATGCGTTAGCATTTCTGCTAGATCTGGTCTGTCTACTTGCAAATAACTGCACGCACCGATTGCCCATTAAATTTGTACTTCGACTGTCTTTCCGGGTGTTAAACTATCAACCTATAAACATGTACCTTGTTAAGCCTCGATATTGCCCACAAGAAAGATAACTCAAGAGTGCGATAATCAAAGTTGAAGAGTCGATAATTATCTTAAATATTGAACAAAGCATTAACTTATTTTCTTAACGTACTTCTCAAAATTTCTTATGATATTTCTTACAATATGATGTGTCGGCAAGACATTGTCAAAATTGTAAAAGTTCATTTTATTGTGAATGGGTTATAAGTGTTCTATTCACATACTAATATTTGTGTAGAAAGTACTGTTATGGAGAAAAATGGATAGTACAATGTAAGTACATTGTGCAATTAGTTCTTTTACTTGAACTTACAATATTTTGAAATTTTAACAACTTTAACATAATTTTTTTTTGCAAATTAGAATTATTTAATTAAAAACTTTTGCAAAAATTGATTAGTCATATCGTCTCATATATCGTTTAAAGCGAGTCTAAAATCATAATTGGGATCTAACGTGACAAAAATCATAATTGGGACCTAACGTGAACGCCCGGTTACGCTTTCTAATTTTCGACAAGTGTATGTTATCTCTTCACCTGTCATTTATTAGAATCTCGGTAGAATTATTACTTAACTTTTATAGTGAAAGCAAAATCTACTCTTGAAGTGCACACACATTTATTAACTTGGAAAAGATAAATTCGACACTGACTAATGAATAATTTGCCTTTCACTACACGCACTTAATATTGGACGGAAAAAAAATAAAGTTAAGATCATCCACGTTGGTGGTCGAATTTGTCCGAGATTTAATTCCTATTTTACATTCGAGCGATCAATTAAGATATCAAGCCGATAATCGATTCTCGCGATACAAAACACGGCACGCAACATTTATTATTTTGTCAGCGAATTATGCGTGAGTTCTTCGTTAGTCGATACCGGATCGCCGAAATAATTATCGCGAAGTAAAGCTTTAATGAGCTGATAATTTGAATCGGATATTTATGGCTCGTAAAGAACAAGCATCGTGGAAATTCTTAGACCGCTCTCGGGAGAACGTTTCCCTTCTCCCTTCTCGTTTCTTCTTTTTACGAATAACGATTCGCGGGGCAAAGCTCGAGAACTTGCGAAGCTTTACACCCTTCATACATGCGGCTTTAACGAGCCGTGCGTGCGAAGAATGTGCTTGTGTTACCCTCATAAAGAGACGTAATCTTTTACTGCCATCCTTGTAGAATATATTCTTTTCTTTGTTTTTTTTTTGTCGAGATATATTTTTACTTTGATGCAGTCGCAGTCAAAGCATCTCGCGAAAATATCTATTTATTTCATGGGAACTTGTGAATTCAATATTATTTTCTTAAGTAGGTGGTCTAAAGATACGTATGGTCTAAAGATAGACCTATCAATAAGAACCCGGAAGATCCAACCATTTGCTGCGGGGCAAGGCATCGTGATTTCACAATAGGTCGTAAAGCAACGCGAGTGTACGCTCGCGAGCGTTTACGCGGAAATTAGATTCTCCGGGTTGGGTCGTAACGCGAACCCCGAAATGTCATCGGGAGGGAATGAACGAGTTTGCTGTGACGGTAATAACGAATTAGAGAACCGCGGGCTTTTGATAGGGTAATTCCGAGGGTAGGCTCCGTGACACCGGGGTTGGCAATCCGGCCATTCTCAGGGTTGTTATGTCTAGACACAGCGGGGCCACGTGCACGGGTCATTTCGACTTTCAGGTGTCCGTAATTATTATCCCCAACGTGCGCTCTCTCGCGCGTTGCGAGCCGAGAGTTTTAGCTAGCAACCCGCGGCACTTAAATGCGAGCCCTTTTCAGTCTCGCGCCCTATAATTTTCGAAATTCACCCCCTGATTTACGGCTCCGCACCGGGATTGTCTACCAAAAGTGGTAGATCGCTCACGGCTGTCGGCTCTTCGGTTTGATCGCCCGACAGAATTGTACATACTGAATGTTCCACCCCAAATTCCACGGTCGCATGTTTTGGAGGTGAAGAAAACGAGATTCATTCGTTCTAAAAATTCTTATTTATGAGACCGTTTGCCGTCGAATTTTCACAAACATAAAAACTACAATCTTCGACTATGTGTGACATATTACGAGAAGCAAATTTTTCATGTAGAATATATTTTTTTATATAAATTTAAGCTTTATCTCTAAATTTTTATCTCAAATTTTCTAATAAAGTCCATAAAGATTAAAATTGAGATTGGATTTAAATTTGATAAATCTAGTTAAACTAGATATAAGTTTTTCTTTCTTCTTATTGATTAAATTCCAATCCAATTTTAATCTCTGGTCCAAGATGGGCATGATACATCAGATGCGTTTAGATTTAATTTTTCTGTAATACCTAAATTTCCTAAAGCTTTTGGCAATCAATAAACAGAGTTCTTTCGGTGATAAAATTGCATATTTAGACAGAGAACATTGTGTTTAGCGGTCTCGGTCGCACAAGCGACACGCATTCATGGACCAGAGAGGCGTGCACCAGTGCGAAGAGCGCGGGGCTGTTGGAGAGGAAACAGGCGAGGGCATGCAGAGCTGCACCGGATGTGATGCCTGCCTTGGTACAAGCCGCTAAAGATACGTCAACGGTATGCCAACAGGCCTTCAGACATCGCAGATGGAACTGTAGCAGCATCGAGCGCGCGCCTGACTACACACCTGAATTACTTACAGGTCTGTTAACATGTTATTTGCCCAGTTTTTATACGCTTTTTGTACCATGTATGCTAATTAAATTTCATTACCATAAACTTATATGATAAAATATTTATAATTTGATTAAATAATATTATATCCTCACGAGTGTAGTGTATTGTATAGTGCATTTTTTACTCTGTATTGTTTATCTTATTTAAATCAGTTAAAATCCTTAGAGAAATTTAAGTAATTTATTTATTGTAGGTATACTAAATTGGCTGAAAATTAATTACTTATTTTAACTATTTAATTACTTGTATTAAAAATACTTTTTTAATGTAGTTAATACTCAAAATAAGTAATTAAACACTAACCAATTTAATACTTACTATAATAAATTTTTCTAAAAAAATTTTATATTATTTTTTACGAGTATTAAAAATAAATTTTATAGCACCGGTGATCGTTATAGCAATCAATGTTCTTGACAAAAACTGAAAATGATATAAAATGTTCGTATAAATTCCTCGAGAGAGATCCAAGTATGATAATTGCAAAAATTGATTCCTTGTTTCGAAAGGTATTAAAGATTACAGTACGAAGAAAGTTAACAAGGAAAAAAACAAGATATTAGATTTCTCTCGTCTGAAGATTTGCAATTTTAGAATTAGCACTGATTAAAAATTAAGTATTTAAATAAGAAAATACGTTGCCTATCGACTTCGTTCATAATAGATTTATAATCGCTGATTTTTGCACAACGGAGGGACGCGAAGTAGATGAAGGTTTCTGATGGAAAACGTATCGAATATCCTTTGAGGAATTCTGACGTAAATAGGAAGACCTGGCGGGCGCGTCTCAATTAGCGATCATTAACAAACCGTAGCTCCCTACGGTCTTCATCCTTCCTCTTCGCGATCGGGCCTCCGTTGGATTAATCGCTCGCGTTTCACGATGATTATATTGTAAATAAAAGTGCGCTCGAGAGATCGAGATATTCTCCGTTAATGAGAAAACTGAGAAGCGCCAATGAGAGATACATTATACGATCACGAACGTAACCGTTCGCCGTTGTATTTTCTGCTCTCGAGAATACAATAATCAGCTTTTCCTCAATCATCTTGATTGACGAAAGAAGAAAGAATTGCATGGTTTTTAATTCAAGAACGTTACGACAAAATCTGATTTGACATCGTTATAATATATTAAACATAATCCGTGCATAATTGTTAAATTAAATTGAAATAAAGATTGAAGATATATTATGCTAATACTAATTATTATACGAAAGAATGGTTTTGCTAAAAACATCTAAAATTTAGCCAGATACAAAATAAAGCTAGATTACAATCTAAAAATAATTTGTTGTCAACATTTTTTTACAAAAGAATGCATCACGCTTAAGTTTTGTATATAATTATTTTGATATGAACCAAAATAATTATTTTTAGAGATCTACATTTAACTTAAATTTTAAAATATTTTTCATACGCGCTCTTTAAAATCTTTAGGGTGGAATCTAATTTTAAAATCTCACTCTTAAAAATTGAATCTTTTTCAACACTGGTTCATTTCTTCGTCATTCTTTAGAATTAGATTCCACTCCAAAAATTTTAGAGAGTACGTTTGTTTTCATATTCCAATGAGCACATTTATCGTAGGAACGCGAGAACAAGCCTTCGTCTACGCGATGTCGGCCGCCGCTGCGGTTTGGAGGCTCGCGCGAGGATGCGCTTTGGGGAGCTTGGCGGCTTGTTCTTGCGCGACTCCACCACGAAGAGAGCCACCCTCGCCATCCGCGCTTATCTCGCCCTCATCCTTCACCACCATGTCCGTCTCTTTCGACACGCTGTCCGTAAGGAACTCCTTCAAATGGGGCGGCTGCGGGGACGATGTGAGATCCGCTTCAAGGATGGCCAAGCGGTTTCTTCAGGGTGCAACGCCGCCTGGTACCGGAGGGACCGCGAAGTTTATGCACGCGGTCAATATGCACAACAATAGAGCGGGTCGGAGAGTGAGTGTTTGCGATATCGCCAATGTTGATAAGTAAGAAGAGCATTAGACGTACAGGTGGTCTAAATTATTTAATTGTTTTTCATTATTTCTGAAATTCTATAGAGTTTTGATATATCAAAAAAATGTGATAAGAAAAATACTTTGAATCAAGATTTTGACTACATAAAAAAATAAAACCAATAAAGGATTCTATTGAGTATCTATCTTGATAAAATCATTTTTCATTATAAAGCTCTATCAGTAAGCTGAGAGGCATATTTCAAATTGAGATTTTGTCTAATTGTAAGTAGACGAATGAAATCAGCCAAGGATTCTATTCTTGATTTTCGGAAAGAATGCGATATAATCGCGATTAACGTTTCGTCCGATAGGCGGTCGAGCAGTCCTTGACTTTGGAGTGCAAGTGTCACGGGGTGTCGGGTTCCTGCAGTGTGCGTACCTGCTGGCGTGGTCTAGGTGCATCGGGACCATCCGCCGCCGGAAGCCGTTTGCTACGCAGATACGCCACTGCGGCGGAGGTCAGGCTGAGATCTGGCGGCAGATTGCCGCCTCTGTATCACCACGATAATCTGCTCTATACCACCAAGAGTCCCGATTACTGCTTACCCGATAAGAAGAGAGGCAGCCTCGGCACGATAGGCAGGTCAGATGCGTTCATCTTTCATGCAATGCGTAAAATTAATATTTTACTATTTAATAAAGAGTTTACTATTTGATAAAGAGTTCAGAAGTCTTAGGCTGGTATTCATAATCGGTTCTTATATTTAAGATCGTCTTAAGACAGTTTTAAAATGTAAGCCAATCACAGAGCAGACCGTGGCATCTTAAAATATTATTTCAGACGGTTTTAAATTAAGAATAGTCTACGAATATCGGCCTTTAGATATCTCTATGAAGGTTTAAATTTAAAAAAATGTATGAAATACGCAATTTCAAAGATGATTATAAGGTATAATCGTAAATCTTAAATTCAGGAAATATAAATTCTTTTTAAATATATTCGGCTTTATTAAAGTAACGAAAAAAAATGACTTTGCTGAAGTATCTAAAAATTTATTATTAGGTAAATACAGAATATAATTTTGTTAGATTAAAATAATATTGTAGAAAATTCGAACATGAAATGCAAAAGTTTTGACATTCTAGCAATCATCTTGAGCGTCCTACATAATTATTTTGACAATCAACATAATTATTTTAACAAAGTTATTTTTAGATCTGTATCTAGTTAAATTTTTAAATACAGTAAAATCGTTCTTTTCATAGAAAATACAAAAAATAATGGGAACATTACTCTTTTTAAAACGAATATGTTTTCAGGATGAAACTCGTTGATGCTCGTAAGTCGGTTTAACGTTTACTCGTTAAAAACTCTTAGTTTACGAGCTCGTGCGATGTATAAGTACATAATATAAATTTTAGTTTTGATATGGTCGAGCGAATAAGTATCGCGTAAAGAGGCTCGAATTGCATTTTAACGTGCCTAGTAGTGCACGAAGAAGGATTATCAACATCTATTACGTGAAAAGATCTTTCTTCATGCGACTGCCGTTCATTAACGAAGGAACAACGAGCGAAGAACGTGATGAGTTTCACTGCGAACGATGTCGATTATCGCGTTAACTACATCGTTAAAAAAACTGGATGTATGGGCAACAAATGTGCAATGTTCTTTCTTGTAAAAAGCAGGAATCGTTTTTCCTTCAAATATTTTGATTCAAATAGTCTTTTAAACTAACAAATAAATAAAAAGGAGAGAGTAGAAGTTTAGCTAACACTTAATGGTGCGAAGATGCCCTCTTGGTTTCTCTCATTCTTTAATAAGAAAAAAATGAGGACAACTTGACAGGCAGAAAAGCAAGATGGTGGCTTCATATGAAGGGACGTAAAGGGAGAGACAGGATGTAAGGATCAGCCGACTACTTTTTTTCGGTAGCCGCGGGCTAAAGAACCTTCTTCTTCTTCCGAACGCAGTAGTCCATACATCCTCGTGATAGGTCGTTAACTTTTCTTGTAATGCGTAAATTATTTATCTTCTCGCGATTTATCTATTGGAAGCAGTAGAAACAAATAAATCTAGTTACAGTTCTCGAAAATTGTTCTTTCACTGATTTTGCTGAAAGATCTAAACTCATACAGCACAAAAGCTTGTAGTAACATTGATGCAACATTTGCAATGTTACTGCAATATTATTAGAATGATCTGTGCTATAAATAAGAAATTTTGCTGAATGCACAGATCTGAAAATAATTTTGATAAACTATAAAAAATTACTGGAAACTTAAAAATAATGAGTAATATGCAAAATATTCTAGCAACCTATTCTAGCAACCAGTTTGAATTTTAAACAAAATTATTTGGATGGTTCAGCAAAATTATTTTCAAATTTGTATTCAGTAAAATTTTAGATTTTACAGCAAAATTGTTCTTTCCGTGAATTGATTTGCTTAGCTGAATCGTTAAAAGCAAATTTCAAGAATCGATGTATCCCCTTTTATGATTTTTCTTACAGAATTAGCGCGTAATTTTGTTTCGTATAAATGCGTCTGTTAATAGTGAGCTCGTGCGACTTTATCGCACTGTCCTGATCTGGTTATAGGCAGGCATGTAAAAGTGCGAAAACCATTAGCACCGTCATAAGCTCAGCTTTTATGAGAGGTCATCGTTGATTGCGACTTCCCTTTAAGCCCGCTTTTACTCATCTCAGTCGTAATCGAAATATTCCGTCGATCGTTATTTTCAAGGCAGTATCGGTGAAGATCTTTCCTGTATATTATTTTACAGCACTTTTTGAAAAAGTCGTTATAACAATCCTTCATAATCGCTAACAATCTATGAAAAACTAACTCGAATAGTTACGGCCAATTTTACTTTAGCAATGCAAATCTGTTCTTTTTTATATGTTAACACTTCTTGTGTGTTTTTTACGAATGTAAAATATAAATCATTTAAAATTTGTCTACAAAAAATTGCTTTGATTAAAAAACATTTTTATACAATAATAATTACACATCAATATAAATTCTTAATTCATTAATCTTTTCCAATTCTGATTAATTTGACTGCCGCTCAAAAGAAAAACAACGAAAAGAAAAGAAGCTACGTTCCCGTAAAACGTGGATATTTTTCTCATGAATCAGTATTCATATATACAATGAGAAAAAATGTACTAAATTTTAATAAATATTTGTTCAAATATAGTACTAGATGTACAATATTATATTAAACGTAAGTTTCATTAAAGGTAATCAAATATATTTATTTGATACAAAAACCATTAATTTAACTATCATATTTATTAACTATCATTTTTATTTAGTAAATATTTATTTACTGTAAGTGAATGATAAATTAGTGTTATTCATACAAATATGTATTACAATGTAATACATTTTTGCTCATTCTTATTTCAAGACCATCTTAAATAATGTCTTAAGATGCTAGTATGGTTCTGTGATTGGTTTATGATATTTTAAGCCTATACTTAAGATGGTCTTAAATATAAGAATCGACTACGAATACCGGCCACGGTATCAGCCGGAGGCGTCAGGCTGTATCGGGTGCTAATAAAATTTCCTTATCCTGTTCCCTTCTTTTCGTTTCTAGGGAACGTAATGCCTAGCCACACGCGACGAATTTCTTTCCGATTCTTTCGATCTCGGTTAATCACGTCGTAGCAGATAGCCAGGTTTATTTATGCGAGCGTGCCAGTAATTACGTGTGTGAGGCGAGAATGAGAGAGGAGAAGATAGGACTCTCGGAGATAGGATGCGTCTCGCCATCCAGACGACGCTCGGTCGTCTCGAACCTGTTCTCGAAACCGAATGAACACGCGTGTTTTACGATGCCTTGTTCGACAGACTGTTCGCCGTGCGAATACCGTTACGACAGGATCCATTCACGGTTTTATTGCTATTCTTTTTCCGCCGCCACTACCGTCTGAGAGTGTTAACGTTAATTTTTGCTACATGCGAATTAGCGCTACCGTTCAAAGAGCTCTTTTCGGCAAAAATGCTTTACAATCTCCCGAAGAGTTATTGTGTCGCGAGATTTTTTTATGAATATGGAATGGATATTTCTTCGCGAATTCAAATTGAATATCGAATTGTCATTCTGTAAATTCTTTGAAATGGAATCTCACTGTAAAGATTAGAAATTGAGTCAGTTTTGAAAAAGAGTGGCTCAATTTTCAATTTTTAATAAGCTTTCACTCTTTAGAATAAAATTTACTTTAAATTTTTTAAAAAGTGAAGTATAGTACATATCTAAAACTTTAGTTTATGATCTGAAAATAATTTTATTGGGCTATCAAAAATAATTATGTAAGATGCTCAAACATAATGAACAACGTGTGCAAAAAATTTTGACATTCTAATAACCACCTTGAACGTTCTACATAATTATTTTGATGCTCCAACACAATTATTTTCAAGTCTGTATTTAGCTAAATTTTTAGATACTTTAGTAAAAAAAACTGTTCTTTCCGTGTAATACTTGTTATATATTCCTAGAACATAAATTATTTCGAAATGAAATCATTGTATATTGAATCCTGCTCGTTTAGGTCACACTATTACAGGATATACAATATATTAAGTAATTTATCGTGAGCGCACCAAAGAAAGGCGCGAACCGTATCCACTTCGGAAAGAAAGGCGGCATTTGTAACACTGTGATTGCATTCGTCACGGATTTTCCGGCGGTAGAAAGGAGACGGCTCTCCATCATCCTCCAATTATCCACGCTTCGCTCTGCGTGAGTTAAAATCACCCACGGCATTCCGGAGATGATAATCAGGATCATAAGATGCAGGAAGTGATGGACGCACGTGGCAGTTCCGATGAGTCTTTTATCTCGGTCTATAAATCGCGCCTCATTGTTCGCGTTTCGCGTTGCAAGAAACGGCGCGAAACAGGATGCTCGCACAGATTACGTATTGGATGTAAGATGTATAAATAAAACAATATCCTTGCGTGCCGACAATGAATATTATTTTGTTGTAGATTTAATGTTACATTTAGCCGTTAAATCCGATTGTAATTTGCAAGAAATAATAAAATACGTAGTGTTGATGCGAAAAATTTATCGCTTTTCTATTAAATTTTAGATAAGGAGATCTAGAATTTTCTAAAAGATGGTTAAAATGTTTTTAAATAAATATAAATATTTCTAATTGAAAAAAACTTTTTTAATACTTCAGCAAAACTGTTCTTTCTGTGAAAATATTGATCTCATTTCAGATTGTGATTTCATCTCATTTAAAATTTGATCATAGACTCAGTTACCTAACAAAATGGTTTTAAGATATTATAAAAATCGAGAACCCTTCCGAGTATCCTTCGTCCTATGAATATGGACGATTTTTCCTAGTTTCACGATTAATTGACGATCTCATTGGTTCATTAACGAACAAACCAACTCTCTATTTATTCGATCAATTAATATATCTCGGCCTATCTAGTCCGGATATTAGTTTCTTTCGCCACGAATGCGATTTCACGCGTAGCTATCAATTCCGCGACGGGATTTATCAGCGACGCGCAACGTGCTTTTCTTGCTCTCTCCCTGACGACGCGCGAACAGGATCCGATAATTTCGTGAGAGACGATTATCGTGGGCTCTAATCCGACGTTTGTTTCGGACACGCCGATATTTCATTCGTCGAACGCTGATATATGGCGTCAGGTTCTTTAAACCGCCACCGACTCGTCTCGCCGGTTTACAGCTTACAACCCAGTAATTATAAGCCCGCGTATAATTATACAAAGTGGGCGTGGCGAATGTTTATCACGCTGTGTTCGACCAGTGTTCCGTGTCACGACGTAACGCTTCTCGAGAAAGATCCTTTTCTTTTTCTTGACACCGCGTAATCTACACGGTAGTCTCGATCGCCCGCAAAAGCGAGCATCTTTTAATATCTTTACGACATCAGAGGCGGGCGTCATGCAAATCGATTAATAATGGAGTCCGAGGAGCTTTAACGAAGTAACCGGAGGAGAAGTTTCGACGAGACCATTGAGATAATACAGTCGACCGTTACGGACCGTGAAGATGAATAACACTCTTACGAGTACACTAATTACACGTTTTCTCCCTAAAAGAAATGAGAAAGATATCGCTGTCTAATTATGGCAAACATGAAACCTAATCCGTTTGTAATATCCGGTATAATCGCGATCAGATAAAACGATAGTATCAATAATAAAATAGTTCGTTATATTGCTGTTAGGAAAGTATATATATTGTATACGTGAAAATTAATTTGAATAATATTTCATCTTAGATGATATAAATCTTTTCAAACCTTTTTCCTTTTTGCGATACACCGCGCTGATCTTTATTAATACTTGACTATTTATATTTTATATATTATTCGGTTGATTCATTGCGCTGAAAATAGTAGCTTATAATTATAAGTGAACATCATTAGATCGACAAGAATCAAATAAATCAAATAAAAAAAGCATTTCCATTTTTGGTCGAAGCAGATTTATGGTGCTATGCTTATCAATGTTCATGTATGTAAATTTACTAATATGTAAGTCTATACAAATATATTTGTAAATTTATAGATTTACAATTATAAGTAGATATATATTATATATATTAGATCGATAAAGATACATCAAATAAGAAATGTTCATAAGCCTACATTGTAAGATTCTTTAATATGATTAGTTATACATTTAGATCCAGCAAAGAACTTATATTATATAAAGGACTTATACAAGAACCAATGCAAAGCTGCTTTTACTGCTAAAAACGCAGTCTTGATTTTTAGCAATGGCAGTGAATTTTGAAAGTCAAAAGAAGTACATCATTAATATATTTAATATATATTCTGTAGCCATGATTACGAGGTGGAAAAAAATTCTTTTGCAGACAATGCAACGGCAGCAGTTCCGGCTATGAGGGCTGCGAGTATCTTTGCTGCAGCCGTGGCCACGTGACCAGGACTGAGCAAATCTACGAAAGATGTGACTGCAAGTACATCAGCTGCTGCTACGTCAAGTGCAAAACATGCAGCCGGATCGTCAAGACGTACGAGTGCAATTAAGAATGACATGAATTGTCCGGGACAATTGGCGACGGAGATGTGTAATCCACTTGATGAAGAAGAAATAAATTCGCGTGCGTGAGCGCGTTGCAAATTAAGCATAAAATTAATTAATTAATTTGGCGAGATGCGTTCGCATGAAAGTCCCAATACGGGATGATAATTATTTAGGCGATAAATTATTTACCGCTTGAACGTGTACAACTCTCTCTCTCTCTTTCGCGTGGCGGTACGTAGTAAAAAGAGTTATTTATACCGTGCTACTTGCTATTTATTCGATGTGTGTGCGTGCATTGCGGCAGATGATTGCGAATAAACGCGTTCATT